TTAGGTTTCTTTAAGCCAGGCTCCACTCCGCTTCCCGGGCGTGCCAAGTCGATCCTACCCACTGTACCCCTCCTTCCCCATCTGTCAACACTGCGGGCTCGAACAGTTCCCGTACACTCCAGGAATCCTCGCATTCGAGCTGTTCCTTAAACGGGTTCTCAATATCTTCTCAGGTCCACTAGCTCCTTCTTCTAGCTTGTTACAGAGAAAACTCGTGGTCCTTGGAGAATGGCTATGTCGCAAAATGGCTCTCGTGGTCCAAACGGATAAAGGTTTCGGAAATGAACTAAGATCCGACGGAGTTAGTGTTTTCTACAATACTGTCTTTATTGTGTTTTTTCGGGGTACTTTATATACGTAGGTTCTCAGGGGAGGGGTCAATTTCTAAGCTGTCTATGAGTCAGTTGTTTTGGAAAATTTTAGATGGCGCATAGTTTGTTACGGTATGACTCAGTGTGCTACTCATCGCTGTCGGGGTGGTTATCTCTGTTTTACCCGTTACAAGCTCATGGAGTCCTAAGGTCTTCTCCCACTTCCTCTCTCGCTCCTTCTCCTCGTAGATCTTCATAATCTTACGAAGATATGCAACTGTTCTCGCCCTTGCTTCTCTACGAGTTCGCATTTTCTCAATTAGATTATTAACTCTGATCGATCCCACTTTGAGAGCCAGTTCCCCCCGCAGTTGCACGACTTCTTCACAGTGAAATATCGCGTGTTCTGGAGTGACAAGCTTTTCTGGGCACAGTCGGCATTCAGCTTTCTCTCCTCCCTTCAAATATTATTTAAAAATTCACCGAACACCCTGTGGCCCCTAAAATGTTGGGTGATATGCTTATAAAGGCCCTAGGTCCCCACTTAAGCCACGTCCCAATGTCTGGGATTAAATGCTCCGTTTGTCCACCATTCTGCACAATACTCCACTCCTCTTGGAACAAGGTTTTAAGTATTCTATCTTCCTCTCTATCAATCTGGGAATCCGAAACCTTCTCGTCTCTGGTGGGCCTAAGTGCCCGGTGGCTTCTCTGCCCCATCCTCTTCCGCCAGCCCTCTCTTTAATTCACTTGAAGATTCTCCCTTTTGCCGATCTTCGGATGAATTGGGTAAATGACTGTCACTGCCTATTTTTAGCCGTATGAAGCCGGCGACGTGTATGACATTATGGACTTTCGTGATGTTTTTAACCCCAAGTGGACTGACTCAGCCCAGCAACTGTGGTGTGGGAAGCTCCGGTTGGGGAACCTCTGAAACCAACAGCCCTGTATAACGTTAGGAGATTGTTGTCAGAAAGCCAACAGTTGTTGGTCAACACCCCTCTCTCTTTCTCTATGTAGACAAGTCTACAGTTGCAGCTCCATTTCGACGCTGGTATTTCCGCCAGATGAAGATTCCATGACTTCTTGAGCCATTTTCACCTCTATAGAGCGGCTAGATTCTTTATTCTCTGCCTTTTTTGCAGGGAGTTGAGGCTTTTTAAAGACCCCTACCTCCTCCGTCGTGCCAATAATCCTGCGTGGGTTGGGGACCACTATTCTATCGCTTTTTCTTTTCCTGCTCTCCTCCAGAGCCTTGCAGGAGGGACCGCCCATTGTGTTCGGCGAGGAATCCTTTTTCCGTGTACAGAATGCATTTGTGTTTTTCTTCTGTGCATTACCCTATAAGATGTTCCAGATACCCACACTTGAAGCAAGTAGGGCTTCGCTCCTTTTTGGCAGTACACCTGGGCCTAACATGCCCAAATTCCAAACACCAGAAACATTGAAGGGCCGTAGTCTCCAATGGTGTCATAATTACTGCAGGCCATCCAATGGGAAGACGGTCCTACAATAATATTTTCTTCGTCGCGGCTACAAGGCACCGAACCCACGCAGAGCCAAGTTCAAAATTCGAGAATCGGACGTCACCAACCCTAACATCCTCTACATCACAGTTGCCAGCGGCTACCACCAATTGCTACAATTGCAGGTGCAATTTCGTTTTTCCAGGTGTTTTACTTTCCTACTTTCCTGCCTCCTCTACCTCTGACACCAATGGAGTGGAGGTAACCATGACATTGGTTGACCCAGGTCATTTAACAATCTCCGCGAATAAAAGGCTTTTTGTTGAAGATTCCCTACCCTTACCGCAGAGTTGCCGTTGTTGGGCTATCACTAGTCTCTTCTTAAGGGATAGCATGTCTGCCACTTTAGGTAAAGCGGTTATCGCCGTTATTTGGGGAGTAACCTTGTCTTTCTAGCTTTTTACCTTAGAATATTCTTTGGAGAGAACCTTCATGGTTCCCTTCACTTGTTCCAGAATCCGGTCTTCCATGGCCTTCAGTTCCTTGCGAAGGCCACGGTATCTATTAGGGATCGATTCTTACGTCGTATCCAAAACGGTCTCATAGTGGATGTCTTTACTGAACCTTTGGTGTATAGGTTCTTTCAGTCTGCGGATCTTTTCCCGCAGGTCATCCACCGTTGCCTTGGATTTCTCAATCGTTTCCTTCAGTTGTTCAATTGTGCGATCTTAGACCGCCACTTGTGCCCATAAATTGGCATTTTCAGATCGGAGTTTGGTAATATCCAACGGTTCAACTGAATGATCGTGCATTTCGGAACACGCGATCTTAGTTATACGACTACAGAGCCCCAGTTGCATACGAATGTGCCCTTCAGGTTGTGCGAATGGCCCGACACATATTTCAGTCTATCTTATAATTCGTGCACTCTCGCAAGGAGGTCTTCCCGAATCATGTCGCGTATATCGTCCCGCAGATCCTGTTCCAAAGGAAGGGTATCGCGTTTCTTCTTCTTTTTTCCAATCCGCCTTTTTACCAATCCGCCGGATCGGCTCTCCTTTTCTGGCCCAAAAACACCAGATGGCTCAGCAACGGGTTCTCTCAACACAGTGTCGCTTCTTAATTTCAATCTAGAACCAGATCGTATACCGTGGACAGGGCGAGTCATTTTGGGCTTATCACTCGCAGTTTGCACCGCCGGGACATAGTGGCCAACCCCGGACGGCCCGGAGTCGATGGATGACGATGCGATGGCGTCTGTGCGAGATCCCCGGTCCGCGCCGGTACTGGGGGTTCTAGCATCCTCTGCACCGCAACCTTTTTTCTTTTTGCTTGTGTCTGTCATATTATTCAAAACAAGTCGCCAGAGTCAGTATCAGTGTCACGTCATCACTAGGGGTGGTTTCACTCCTCCGTGTCAGCCTGCCCGGCATGGTTGAATCTACCGGTAT